CCATCCGACAGCGCTGAGGTGAGTGCCGGGGTGGCCGGGGCCGGCGCATCCCCTTCGCGGGAGCCGGCCGATCGGCCCCTTCTGCTGTCGCGCCTCCCCTGGGTGCGGGATTCCGGATCGGGGTGCTGGGGTTGGTCTGTCTGCTCGTCTGTTCCTCCCACCCGCACCCTCACCTTCCTCCCTCGCTCGGTAGGGGGGAGCTGTCGGTGTGGTGGCGCGTGGGGTTTGGAGTGGGTGCTGGGGCTTTGCTGGGAGCAGATTTTAATCAACTTTGCGTGGGGGAAGCAGGAGGCAGAGCGGGGGCTGGCGGGGAGTTGGGAAGTTTGTCCCTGCTGGATCCGGGCGTCCCTGGACCTTGGCGACTTTGGGAGATGAGAGAGAGAGGTGTGGGTTGGGTTCGCCGGGAAGCGGAGACTCCAGTCCGGCCGTGGGAGGGAATTGCTGCTGGGAGACAGGCGCCTGGGGGCCGGGGTGGCGGCCTGTGGGAGTTTCGGGTAAGGGGTACGGGACTGCCAAGGGTTCTGCTGCCCCCCCCCTTGTACCGCAGCAGTTTCTGCTGCTGCTAGGGAAAAAGTGGAAGCTTGAGGCGCTCCACCCACCCCCTACTCCTTCGTCTCTGAGGTGGCTGAGCTCAAGGACCCCCATCACTAGGAGTTTAACTTGAGTTTCCTGTCGGTCGGAGTGGAGTGGGTAATACTCAAGGAGATCAGCAGTCGACTTAAAGGGCTTTCTGGTTTTCCTTGCGGGGGATCTGGCGACTGTCCCTAGGACAGCCACCTGATTGAGAAAAACCCCAAAGAACATACCCAAAGGAGGCAAAATAGAATTTCCCTGGACACTTCACACCACCGAGCTTTTCGCAGCAGGCCCCTGTCCCAGAACCAACTCGGGTCTGCGAAAACAATCCGGACGAGACCCATTCCAGGGTATCAGCGCTCCTCCCCGGAGTGGAAAATCGATTCCTGATGGTGGCGTGTCTGTGATTCTTCCTTCTTGACTTTTTGCTGCCTTCTATTCTCACAGCGGACTTTGGGGGATTACCGGATGGTAGGCTGCGTGTGTGTAATAGTTACGGAGTGAGTGACCCCATTTCTGGAAAGCATGACTGAAACGCGGGGGTGGAATGGGGCAGGCTCTGATGAGTGGTGTACTTGGCGGCAGCCGCTGCCCCGCCGGCCTCCGCAGTGTGAGAGGTGGATAGGGTTACTGGTTACGTCAGTAAAACCGAGTCTCAGTTTGATCTGAGATGCGGGACACTTGCATTCTCGGGTATGATTAGGGGGAGGGGGAAATCAGTTCAAATCGCTTTTCAACGCCCCCCCTTCCATTGCTGTATTAAAAATGTTTACTTATTAATGCAGGCAGAGTTGTAATAGCGATTATGATGGTTGCTTAATATTTTGCGACTTGGATTATGCTTTTAAAACCTGAACTAAATGCTGTTCCATAGAAAGAACATTGATATATGTTAGAAGAGAAAGGAAATCGTGTTAAGATCGACAGAATTACAAGAATTTCATTTGAAACTTTAGCCAGTCTAATGCTAGAAATCTTTTATAAGAAAGTCAAATTTAGATTGCTTACTTAGCGTTTGAATGAATATGAAAAAAGTGTGCATTTTCATTGTTTTTCCTTCAGGTTTTTTTTTCCGGATTTGAAATATAGCTAAAAGGTTAATACAGTGTTCTGAAAGAAATTGAATTTACATTGAGACTGATTTTTAGATAGACGTTAATAATTACAACCCTAAAATAGTCCATGTTTCTGCTTGACATGTATCAGTATGTAGAGGGAGATCGTTTAAAATTTCTCCTTGCCCTTTTTATGTATAGCAGGCATTTGTATAAGGAAGGTGCAAAATTAATACTTATTTAGCATCTACTATACGTCAGGTATGTTGCTACATGCCATTTCATTTTTACCCTTCCAATGACCCAGCAAGGAGGTTTATGGTTCCCATTGTTACAAAATAGGAAACTGAAACTCAGAAGTTAAGGGCAGAAAGATTATAAATAGTGAATGGCAGAGCCATGATATGAAGCCAGGTGGATACCATGCTTGTGCTTTGCTTTGTGTTAGCATATTTCAAATCCTTTGTAGAAAAATTCAGGTATATGGATGCCAGTAGTTGTAGGTCATATGTTTTTCAAAAACAAAGTCTTATAAGAAATTTGGTGAAGTCTTAAACAATTTCTCCCTACATATTGATACATGACATTTGGTAAAGTGTTGTTATTTCGGGTACTGCCATGTTTTTCAAAACCTGGCAGATAGAATTCTACAATAGAATTCTTGCCATTTTCAAAGAATTATTCTTGCTATTCTGGAATAAAGTATTGCCTAGATTTCTTAAAATTATACTTCAATTGATTTTAGATATTTTGTTCCCTTTGCTTGTCCAGCTGTTTCAACTAAATTACTTGTGATACAGTTTGGAAATATTGAAGCCAATGAGAGAAGGGTTGAGAGTTCTTATTCTGAAGTCCAATACAGTATTGGTACCCAGTACTCTATGCTCTCTGCTCCCCAGTAAATTCACATCAGAAAACAACTGTATTTTACCAGACTAATATCAGGGTGTTTTTTTTAAATAGTCACTTACTTGAACAAATACATGAAAATGTTTCTTTATAAACCAAAAGATTTCAGGGTGGATCTATATATAATTTACATTTATAGTCTCATCCTAACGAGACTGTGAACTCTTGAAAGCAGAGACTTTGTTTTTCTTCCCCAAATCCTCAGCATTTAACACAGTGCCTGGCAAATACATATTATGGACTTAATAAATATCTGCTGAATGAAGCATGAAGGTCAAGAATAGGGTGATTATAAATCTTATCTCTGTTTTATCATTTTAATCTTACATTGAAATATGAACAATTTTAAAAGACCTGAGTGCCTCACTAAAAACACAAGCCATTTCGTCATTCCTTTATACTAGCCTTCCTACTTTAAGACCTCATACAAGTCTCAAGGTGTTCGAAACAAACAAAAATTCTTATGGGTGAATTCAAACATGGGTTAGAACATGATAGGCTAGAACTAGGCCGAATGTTTAAAGAAGCAAATTTAGGATAAACAAGGAATTACCATGTAGCAAAGCAAGAGTTGATCCAAGATTTTTAAAAAAAGAAATCACTTCCTAAATGGTCTAGGTAAATCCAAAATTATTTAAGGATGTTTTTGGATATTTGGTTGTATAAGAGATGGATATCAAAGAAGTGTACCTCTTCTGTTCTGCAAATTTCTTGCTACTATAGTCAGGGACAACATTTCCTAGATCATAAACCAGACTTAGAGTTATACTTTTTCTCAGTTTAGTGAATAGCTTTAAATGATAGTAAATCTAGATATAAACAGTTTTCAAAATAATTAAAGGGGTTATTTTTGCTCTATAGAAATGGGTTGCATAAAAATCACAATGCAGTATGCTGTATATAGTGTTTTATGTGTTTTGCATAAAATAGCTACCTTGACTTTCTTTAAATAACAAGTAGCCTATAAGACTTTAAAATATTAACTATATAAATATTTGATCATTAAAAAATGAAACCCTTATATTTGAGATCTTTAGTGAATATGCAGCCATTTTAACCACTAAAGATTATATAGTATTCTGTACTATCATATAAATAGCATAGTACAGAGATTTCTGTACTATTTCTGCTGCATCAATATTATACAGATTTCTTATATTTCATCTATAGGTAAAAATGTTCTATTAAAGAATGGTCATTGGTTTTGAAAAAATGTTTTATTAAGTTTCTTTTCCTTTTCCCATTTTATTTTTACCACCTTTCAGGTTTTTTTCTTTCCCCCAAGTGAAGACCTGAGGAGAGGACAGGTATTGTTACATGTCTACTGTCAAGTAACTGTGACATATTACTGAACACCTCATTGTTTTCAGTGATTTTTGCATAGGATGCCAGTTTTCTTTTTAATTCTAGGAAAGTTTGCTTTATTTTGGCAACTTGATCCTCAACTGATGGGGTAGATCCAAAATGTGAAACTTCCTGGGTGCATTTAAATTTTAAAAGACAAAAATTCTTATCTGATTAAAGAAACAAGTATGGAAGAATGCTTTCTTTTCTTCAGTACATTTCTGGAACTCCCAATAAGTATATCCTAATTTTATATAACAATGGTGACATAATTGAGTTGTGTATTCCTAAGCGTTTGACATTTGATAAATTATAAGATGATCAAAAATATAGCAGGTCATTTATCCAGAAGTCTGAATTGCAGAATTGTTCTGAAGTTTTAAAAAAGTTATCATCTATTAAAAAATTTGTGAATTAGTAAGATTGTTTTACACTTCCATATAATCTGCCAGGCTGTAAATGTTGGGTGAAATGGTGGGGGGGGCAACTCACCCAATGTAGATTGGATGCTTTAGACCTAGTAGTTGAGATTATAAGGAAAAACAATGACATTTCTGTGGTCTTCTTGGTAATACATAGTGTAATAATAGTCCTCAGTTGTTGATGCATTTTAGTGGCTAACATCTTTTAAAATATTGGAATGTAGTTGTGCATATATCATTCCCCCAATTCATATAATAGAAAAAAACAAGAAACTGCATTTTAATACCTAGCATTAGGTGTCCTTCCCACCCCACTGATCAGCATGCTCTTTTAGAGTTAATACACTGACCTGTGTCATTAATCTGGAACAAATATCAGATTTCAGGTGTTCTGATTTATCAGTTTAATACAAAAAGCATAAAAGCAAAGAAACAATAAATCTTAAGTAAAATGTGTGAAGATTTTAACACACACACACGTGTGTGTGTGTGTGTGTGTGTGTGTGTGTGGGAGAAAGCATATCCATATAGTGCATAATAATCATTTAGTATATTTGACCTGTTATAAGCACCTACATTAGTTACTTGTAATTATTTCGGTTTTGAAAATTTTAAAATTTAGGGGTTTTGTGAGGTAATTTGGACTAATGTCAAAGTATTAAAGAACATAGGTCTTGGAACCATAAACACGTGTGTTTGATAACCTTATGCAAATTATGTAATGTCTCTATGCTTCTGTCAAATAAGGATGAAAATAATGTCTACCTCATAGAATTGTGAGAAATGAAATGATAATATATGAAAGACACTTGTTCAGTACATGATACATGGTTTAAGTATTTAATAAATTATACTTACAATGAATTATCTTCCTTAAAGAACCAAGAACCGGGTATGGTGGCACAAGCCTGTAAACCCAGCACTCGGGAGGCTGAGGCAGGAGGATTGCTAGGGGTTTGAGGCCAGCCTAGGTTACCTAGTGAGTTCAAGGCCAGCTGAACTACAAAGTGAGACCCTGTCGAGAGAGAAGGGTGGGGGAGAGAAAGTTCTTTGTTCTTTCTCTGGGGTAATTTTTTCAGAACTTCAGAATCAAACAAAAATTAAAATGCTTTATCTAATCTATTTAAACAGAATCATTGTAGTATCTGAATATAATTGTAAGGGTAAGGTGAACAGAAATCTCTGGAGTCTTGTCCTTTTTGTTCTTTTTGTACTGTTCCTTTCCCTAGTACTGTCATTTAAAGGGAAAAAAACAGATAACATTGTGAGGAAGAAGGAAAAGAGTATGTTCACATTTTAACATTGCTTAAATTGAAAGGTGTCCCATAGTTTATTTAGTAGGTTTTTCCCATAGTTTAGTTATATTTACTAGGTTTTTTCATAGTTTAGTGGGTTTTTTTTCCTTAGCAGTGTTTAAAATAGTAGTGTATCTTACACATGATGGTATCTTATGATTGATGAAATATGGTATATCCTGTATGTGAACCTCTTGAAGATAATGGGTCTTTGTGAATGGTTAAAATCAATATATAGTATCAATCGGTAGAATTTAAACTTTCTTTCTAAAACATACCAAAACAAAGTATGCACACCTTTTTATATTTTAGAGTCAGTTGGTTCTGTTAATTTCATCTTTAGGTAAATATATGTAGCACATCTCTCTTCCCATTACTGTAAATACATTTGTTTGAATTATTTGAATGTGCCATGAATAACTGGATTTTCCTTTCTAGAAATGTAATACTTTGGATTTTGTCTGTTAAGTGATATTGGTACTTAAGAAACTTTAAATATGACACAGTATTTTTCAAACAGAGAAATCTTTGGAGATGTGATGTTAAAAAGTATATCATGTCCCCTCCAAAGTAATTAGGAAGCATGCCATAATTGAGTAAGTTTTGGAAATGTGGAGTTAAAACAATATTTAACCAGTATCTTTATTGAATAACTTCTTAGAACTTTTATGATTGTGCTGTACACAATGAAGCTGCAAAACAGATATAATCCATGGCACTTGAGAATTGATGTCAGAACTCCTTTTTCATGAACCACCTATTAAGGTCTCAAAGGACACAGTGCATTGCAAAACATGATGTTGAAAAGTTCAATAATTATAGTAACCTGATGCATTGTCTGGAAATGGGCTGTTATGCTTAATTCATTGTATCAAAGCTTTTTCTTTAACTGTCAAGTTTTCATTTCATTTTAAATTGAAATCTTTCTAAATTAAGTTGTGCGATAATTTTCCAAGTTAATAGTGAACTAAAACTTAAATACTGTATACTTGAAATAAAGTTTAAAACAATTTAAACTTTTTGATTGAATTTTCTGATAATTATTAATCATAATCTACTTTAATTTTTACCTAATTGCCTGTACTGCATGACTCCTATATTGGCTTGATCTGTAATTTATGTCTAATATTCATAGTTTTTTATTGTTTTTATTATATGCCATTTTGTGCAGTTACTAGAGAATAGTGAAACCATTTAAACTTCGTCTTTTAAACAAAAGTTACAGCTTACCAAATAGTGTAAAAAATATTATTTCCCTAGTCTGTGCCCATTATGTACACACATCTCTGGGGTCAGGTGTATTTGTAAGTTCTATTATCTAATAATAAATGGTAATTTTATGTTTTATACTGTATGTTTATACTGTACCAGAATGGCTCAGTTACTGGCATTACCTGCTCTGCATATTTACCTTCCTCTCTTGAAAATGTCAGCTATAAAGTAAAATATGAGTGCATTAAAATCAGGCAGCTGTAAGACGGAAAGCTAGCCTACTGCCCCACTTGTGCTCAAGTCTTCATTGTGAATCCATTTTTGTTCTCATGAAATAGTGCTGGTTTCCTAAATATGAGATATTCTACACTTAGATACGAATTCCAAAGCACTTTTAGATTTGTCATTCTTCTGTAGTATAAGTAGAATTATAGTCATGGTAAGTGAAGTGAAATTTTTCCAACTAATATATCCAGTATCTTACATAATTTAAAAACTAGTTATCTTTTGTCCATCATATAAATCGATGTTTGCAATCTTACATATAATGTGGGTCTCATCTTCAAATCTGAACTGATCATGTACTGTGAAATCCATTGGCCAAAAAAACTTGTTATAGGAAACATGGTATTTCAATTCTTCACATTTAAGAGCAAAGGCATCTAACCAAAAACCATTTAAAGTAATGAAAATTTACTTTTAAAAAAACTTCTAGATTGGCATTGTTCAGTATCATGGGCATTAGCCATGTATGGCTATCCAGCACTTGAAATGTGTGACTGCTTAACTGAATTTTTGGTTTTTTGTGGTGCTAGAAATCACCAAGGGCCTGATGCATGGGAGGCAAGTGCTCTCACTGAGCAACATCTCAAATCCTGAATTTTTTAGTTTAATTTTGTAATTTAAATGTAATACTCACCAGTGGCAATTGGCTACTGTATTGAACATTATAATGTGCTAGATTATAGAATTTGTACAAATTGAACTTTTTTCCTACACTAGTGTTTTTTTCTAAAAGCTTTGCTATTTATATTTTGAAATTAATAGGTTAAATAAAAATGTGTTTGATACACTTCTTCAAATTGTATTTAATCAGATTTGTTTTATCCTTTTTGTATCTTGAAGACTTAGATAAACCCTCTTAGGTAGTACATACCCCGCAAATCACCATTCTGCTCTTCCTACGACTTTATTAATTTTACAGTGATATTCCTTGAAGTTATGACACCAAATTATTGGGGAAATATGCCAATCAAAAATGTTGCAATTTGAAATTTCCTTTTGTGAACTAGTTTGTGGAATAATATCTCTATAGAAAAATACATAATTATCTTCTGTGTTGTTGGATGAAAAAAATTATGCAACAAACTTTTTAAATACTATATTCTGTTCACTGTGCTTAATTACAACTAGAAAAATGGGTTTGTGCATCTTGGAACATAAAAGTGTTTTTAAAATTTTTATCATAGAATTTTAGAACTGAAAACAATTTAGCCCTACCCCATTTATATATTTAAATTTTGACACCTGGTCAAGAAGGCTTGTCCCTAGTCATATGTTGACAAAGTCAGGGCTAGTGAAACAAATTTCACTAAAATTTATTTTTCTGTTTACAACATATATATGTATATAACTTTATAATTTTACCAGAACTATCTTAGATGCAAACTCAAAGAGTCGCAATTTGTAAAAGTTTAAATACTGTTTTTTTCTGTACTATATGCAACTTTTAACGCCTTATTTGCTGTATCAAGAGTATTCAAGTCCAAAACAAACCAGTAACCTTGCCTTAGCCTTACATAATTTGTAAGTCTGTAAAATAAAGTCAATTCTTAGTTTACAAAAACAACTTGAGAATAGTCCTACCTACAAACAAATATTGGGGAGTATGTCTAAATCACTGCTCTTTTCCAAGTGAAGATGAAAGGAAACTCACATTTACTAAATTCCTCTTTTGATTAGACAGAGTATATCAACTTGAATAATGTAGATATAATTATCCTCAACTTAAAGGTGAGGAAACTGAAGCCTAGA